CTTAATGTTTTTTTTTATTTATTTGTTGCTTCCTCATTCCTTCCGGGGTTATTATTTATCGGCTCTTGTTTTTTTCCTCTTCTAATTAATTTATAGCTGATACAACGACGGGCGGTCCACCCTCGAGATTTTACAAATTAATTAACAAAACGCCGCCCCCCTTCTCATGATTGCGCGTATAACAAACTGACACCTCGTATTTCGTTTCCTTTTTCTCTTTCCTTTATCTCAGGTAATTAACGTTTTTATTCCACGCTTCCGGGTGAAAAGAAAAATGCTATGCAGAAACATACGTGCATACCGGATATTTAATCTCTTTCTTTGTGTACATAATATTTCTAGCTGTCTCTCTTTGATTACGGACTAATGTTATTATTTCTTCTTCTTGTTGCGTTTTTTTTGTTCAGTATTTCTTTCGCGCTCTTTGTGCGCTCGACGTGTGTGATGGAAAAATTAAAAGAAACGCGCCAACTTGTGTCTCCACATATTCCATTCATACACAAAATTATTTATGTATACTGATTTCGTACTTCAAAGAAGGCTGAAAAAATACTCCAGACAATAATGAAACATAATTATAATTATGTTCTTGATTTTTGGTTCTATTTACTTCCATATGACAAAATTATTATAAATATCATTAAAATAGTTTGATTAGCAAAAATTAATTAATTCTTTACAAAATGAAATAATGGAGTTTTAATCAAATCTTTATGATTACTTAACGAGTTCAATCCGTTCCAGAATTTTCGGATTTTTACTCGCTTAGTGAAATACTCGTATAGTGTAACATATTCAAAAATACACATAATATGTGTACAATTCTCTTCTCATCGTCGCTCGTTACGCATGTCATTTTGCTTATAATTCATTTTGTTCATTAAGCGAAATGATCATTAAGCGAGGTTCCACTGTATATAGAATCTTCTAGTATTTTATTTATTTATATATCAATTAATAGTTTCTACATTTCATGATATTTTCTTACCAGAATTTTAAAATGTATATATCGTAAAGTTGTTTTCTTTATGGTGATAAATGTAAAACGAAATTGATAAAACTTCTTTTCCATATTTATTTTTTAAATTTGCTACAATTATTCGGCTTTTAAGAAATTCAATTCATTCTAAAATATTCTATTTGCAACGCAAGAACTGCGTTTTTATTTAGAAAACATAGGGTAAGTTACATATGTTTTCTTCCAATTTTTGTACAATTCCAAATTACTTGAAGATTTATTGAATAATATTATTTATAATAATTGAAAGAGTTAAGATTTAGTTGAATTGAAAACGTGTTTTTTTAAATAATTATGTGTCAATTATTTGTTTAGTTTTAGTTTAACAAATTTCTAATATCTGTCGAATGTACCAGGTTTCAATATTTTGAATAGAATATATTTAACGTTAACTAACCTTAATAATATTTCTAATAATTTTCTATTGCCTATAAAAAGTGTCGATATTTTTTGCGTGGATGCGCCGGGCTTCTACGTTTCATATAACATTTTAAAACGTAAACTATTCATTCACTAACTATACTCGGTAAACAAAGATCCATTATTGTGAAGTCCGTGACCCGGTTTTCGCTCTAAAATTCGATTATTTTTCCCCCGTCGTGCACACCTGTGTGACCCGAATGATTAAGTGAATGCTATTTAGAAATACTATTTTATTTTTATGCATACATTATTATAATGTGTGTTTTTGTTTCGTTTAAATAATATAAAAATATACGACGAGTTTTATAATCTAGGAGTCCGCGGTATCTCGCATAAAGAGCATTTCTCTTAACGAGCAAAATGAATTGTAAGAAAAATGTTTCAGTATACGAGTAAAATTCTGGAACAGATTATGCACGTTAAGCGAGGTTCCACTGTATTTATATATATATATATACACACACAAACATAAGATAATCGGAGTCCACGTGCCTGTGGAAAGGGGTCAAAGGCCACTCGTTGCTTAGGTTCACGCACTCTCCTTTCCAACATTATGTACGCGTTTCTTTCCTGTTTTTGTTTTGTTTAGCAAAAAAAACAAACAAAATAAAAAAAATGCATATAATAACGCACAGAAGGAAAGGGAATAAATGGGCGTTGCGCGCAAAGTAAATACAAACATTTGTTCCTTTCGACGCGTGAGGTTGCACATGCGATGCAATTACCCTCCGGAAATTCAAACGATTCAAATACATCGAAACGCATTTTAATGACTATTAATTATATTTAATTACGTAAACATTAGTATCTGGGTTTTCTTTATTTCTGCCCATTCAGACCATTCAAATATCGTGGTGTGAATAAGTTAATGCATTTTAAATTGACATTTATGTATTTCTTATTAAAAGTTTCTACTTCTCAATTCTCATTAATTCATTTTTGATTATTTTATAGTGCAACATTAGATATATTTCATATTGTTTCTATACAAACATAATTTATATTTAAACTAAAGAAATCAACTAATGGAACGTATTTATTAAAACTTTAGTAGTACAGGTATCCACCGACTTACGAACTAATTCCGTTTCAAAGGGTTGTTCGTAATTCGAATTTGTTCGTAAGTCGGGGGAATTTTAAAAATTATATACTTATCTTATCACACTTTATCATGGTTTTTACTTTTATGTAAGTTAAATTCTGTGTTACTGACTGCATAAATTTGAAAAAATAAATTAAAATACAAAACAACAAATGAAACAAAATCACATATAGTACATCTTCCAAAAATATTATATTTTATTAAAGAAATTATCTATTTTTATTTGAACAGTTAATTTGGAATAAGAAGATATATGGAAGAGTTTTAGAATTTTGTTCGTAAGTAAGTAAGAGTTTATAAGTCGGGGGATACCTGTATTTGATTAGATTTGGTTAGTATACAGTTGTAGAAACTTTAACCTCTTTAGCTAAATTTAATGGGGTCTCCCTTAACTTTAAGTTAAGCTGTATAATTAAATAATGGGTTTCATAATATAATATTCACTTTGTAGTACATTCATTGTTAATTTCTATGGAAAATCTTTGAATAGCACTAAGGGTTTACCCCGAAAGGTTGTAAAATGTTTGCCCTAATATAGCTTAGTTTTCAACTAAATAATTGTCAAGTTTATATTAGTTTAATTGATAAATGTTGTGTTGATGTTTGTTATTTAAACACTTTTCGGGATTTTAGTTGATTCATTATCATCGTGATAGATAAACGTTAGTTTTTTTCTTTTCGTTGCGCGATTGCGTCTAATGCAATAATAAAGTTGGCCATGGGATGTGGCCATTTTGTCGGTGAGTTATGCGAGACGGGGTGGAAAAGTTGCAAGAACTATACATTTTAATAGGGAATAACGATCATAACAGCCGCATAAAGCAAGCTGCAACTGCGACGTGCTCAATGGTCCGCTCATTGTACAACTACCGAATGGGGTATATCATTCTCGGGCCTCGGTCCACATCCACCCCCAAACCCTCGCACCGTTCTTTTTATATTTATTGTATTTATGCAGCCGCCACCCCTTGTCTCCAGCCGCCGCCTCCACACACAACGCAAGACACGCTAAGTGCGGGCGATAAGCGTACCGAAGTTGAAAAGAAGCAGAAAACGACGACTCTCTCTCTCTGTTTAGAGGGAACAACCTTCTCTTCAACTCTTCCGTTTTTGTTATTGTAAATCATAGCCTTGTGTTGAACACACACACAAACACACACCTCTTGGCTTTTTGCTCGGATTTTAGAGAACTGTTGCTGAAGTGAACATGAGGTGAAGATTTATTGCGTCACTACATTTAATGTTTAATGGGTTTATTGCATTTAACTCGCTCCACTCGTGCAGGCTTTTTTTCTTTATCCTCAGTTGTGTTTCAACTCTGCTGGTTTCCTCGTCTTTTCTCCTCTTTCCTTCAACCGAAGTTCACCACATAAATGACATATGGATCAATTTGTTACCTATTTTCTACCGCTTCATTGCTTAATTGATTGCTTTGAACTGCATTCCCTTCTTTCACCAATTAGAAAACGGCGACATTTGAAAAATCACTCACGACGTACAACTCTTGTCTCTACTCTCTCAACTTTTTTTAAATATTGAACTTCATAATAAAAAGATATATACTTATTGTTCTTTTATATCATTAAATATATTATGTGATTAAATTATAATTTATTGTGTTAAATTATAATTTTTGTGTTCTTAAAAATTAAGTTATTATTTTAAAATTGATAAACAATTTAAAATGTAATTACTTTTTATTCATATACCATTGGAAATATTTACATTTAGTTTTTTTTGTCATTTGCATTTATTGTGTATAAAATAACTATAATCTGAAGTTACTTGATTTAACAAAACATGGAAGAAAAACGATAAGCTTATATTAAAATATAAATAAATTTAAAATTTTAATGAGGAAAAGATAATTGAGACATAACTGCAATACTTATACAATACAAACCATTTGACACCTCCATATTCTTGTTATAGTAGACCTTTTTATAAAGTCAATTTTCAAGAAAATGAATTTTGCATGTGTCATGAATTACAAAAAGTCTGTTTTTTCTCTATTTCATTAAATTTTTAGACAGAAATACAATTTGATTTGAGTTTATGCTAAGAAATTGAGAAGTTATAATTGTATTTTTTTTGTAAGAAAAAAAATAGAAGTTGGTGTGGACAAAGATAAGCTTATATTAAAATTTAAATAAATTTGAAATTCTTATGAGGATAAGATAATCCGGATTCTTCGTTATTTCATTATCATTTCGGACAGCGAAGTTCGAACAATTGAGTTTGCATTTGCGGGTCGGTTTGAAAACAATGTTTGGAGGAAAGTTCGTAGCTCAGATTGTGAAGGACTACCTGGTATTGATATTCGAGTTGATTGTGTTGTATGCGCGTCGCAGACTTGGCCGTAATAAAGCCTCCTCATTCACCTGTACTACTCGACTCTGCGAAATTTGCATTTGATTCGTGTGCTAATCGATCGACGTGTGTTTTGTTTTGTTTTAGTGCCTGGAGGTATAGTGGGTCCAGGAGGCGGCAATGGGTCGGAGCCGTCGGGGCGGCAAAGGCATGTGCCCCTTTATGGACGACTTGTTGGAGAGGAGCAGCTCGGCCTCAACACCGGAGCCCCTGCCGACATTCAAGCGATGCAAGCCCGTATTCCGCATACCTTCCGAGAACCTGCAAGTGCGCCCCTCAGGAAACTCTCCGTTGACCTCATCAAAACATACAAACACATAAACGAGGTCAGTACATCATCTCATCATCACACAAAATATTTTTATATATCTCATCATCATCCCACAAGTGAATTTCCTTCCGGTCGCAGGACACCTCATCATCCCGAATCCACTTCAAATTAGCCAAATATAATTCTGTTCTTTATTATGAACATGTCAACAATTAGTTAAGAAATCAAAAACTTGCATTACAAAATAGATTTGGCTATGATGATAAAGAACTTTAACATAATTAACAACTACCGTAATTGACGCTTTTTTGCTAATAATGGACACATCCTTACAACAACAGCATTTGCATCTTTTCCCGTGATCTCGATTTATCTTTTTCACGTGGGAAACGATCTTTCCCGTCAACAACAATAAATGTCAACGCAAATTTACATAGTTACCAAGCAATTAACTACAGGAATAAACAAATGCAGATTGACCTGTCAATAAATTGTCACCGACTCGGAATTGTATAAAAAATTCCAAAGAAACCGTGGGTGCTCACCATTATCGATAATCCCACATAGTTCCACTGGAAATATCGCTATTAAGAATTAACCGAAACCGCACTTAAATAAATTAAATCGGTCGCAATCGATAAAATATGCCGGTAAATAAGGAATGACTTTCGGTGGATTTGATCATTTCGATTGCGGAGACTTTTCGAGCGCACGCACTTCCCACTCTCCTTCACTTTGCTTTAATTATTTATAAATAGAAAATAGATTTATACAGAAATATCAACGAAATTTCCAGCAATTCGATTTTCCTTCGAAAATCGTGTTTACTGTTATGCATATTGCGACTGGGAAATCGTTTTGAATACGAACAACCGTCATTGCTGTTTATCGAATTCAATTTGCATCGGTGCTTTGATTTGATTTATCTGCAACAAGATGACATAGTGAATTATTGTCATCGCTTCTAATTGGATTATTCGCCTGACTAATTTCCTTTTAATTGAATCCAATTAACAATAAGAAATCAAGTAAATTATGTTTTAATTCGATTTATTTCATTTTCAACATTAAGATTTGGGAAATGTTTGCAAATCCTAACAAGTTTTTAATTTTATATAAAAAATGTGTTTTGTGTGTTTTAATAATTACAAGATATTTGCAAATTGTAATTTTATTTTTTCAACATTCTAATTTTGAGAGAAATAATAATTTTACTTCTTTATCACTGAATGGTTTTAAAAAATTAAATAAATTCGCTTTCATTAATTTACAATATTTCAGGAATTAATTCACGTTTTGTAGAAGCATAATTAAAACGAAATAATTCATAAATATTAATTGATTTAAATTTGTAACGTAATAGTTTTGGGATCAATAGACTTAAGTAAATTAAACAAATCCTAATTCAATCGACGGAATTGTCATGTGGTTCCTCAAATGCGAGGAGTTTGGGAAGATAAAGTGCCGTGACCCAGTTCGTGCGACATTTTTGGTATCCGCAGATCAAAGTGTTCTCCTACTCTGCTGTGAACTCTCGTTTTCTCATTGGCATTGCACGTGGAGTGTAAAGTAGAGAATTTATGGACGGAGCAGACGTTACCTGCGTATTCCAGACTACATTTTTAATGGACTCACCGAGATTCGTTTCGGAAAATAAGATTTTACCCCAGTTTTTCGTTTTCGGATCAAAGCGTTCGTTCTCTTCTAAAACTGTAGTTTTTGTTCAGTTCGACGTCTCACGTAGGGTGTATAAAAGGGATTTGATGGATGTCTGAGCTGAAACAGAGAGACGCGGACCTGGATAATTCGGATTACATTTTAATGGTAACGGAGATTAATTTTGATTGTGGTGCGATTCGGCAGCGGCGGCGGCGGTAATTAATTTAAGATTTGAGAACTCGGATTTAATGGGTCATTAGATAAATATACTTTTTGAGCGGCTTGCTGCTGCTGCTGTGAGATCGAGGAGGCGGTGAGGGCGGCGCGGGACTTGAGGGTTGAAACGGGGTGCAGGGAGGGAGGTCGGACACCGTGGGGACGTCGAAGGCGGCCGGCGTCGGGTTGTGGCGGCGCCCGCCCATTGTCTGGCATCCGCAAGGCCGCCGCCACCGCCGCTGCGATTATATATATATATAATAGATATATGTGTGTGTATATATATATATATATCGCGTAGCAACAGCGAGAGGCACTTTAAGAACCACCCGGAGGAGCGAGGAGGAGAAGGAGGCGGCTGAGGCTACGGAACATACGAGAAAATTATTAATTGCCGATATCACCGCCTCCGACCAAGAATTTTTAATTAAAACCGAAAATTCCGGTTTGAAGTAATAGCGCGCGCAAAAGGAAAGGAAATAAAGTAATGTGACTTATGGATGATAATTATGGGGCGGTTCGAGAATCAAAAAGCAGAGGCTTCGCCGCCCCTCGCCGCTCAATTATTTTTCGGTCCCGTTTTTTGGAGTTAGTGGAGTGCGGTGCAATTGCTAAGTGCAGCGTCGTAACTGAATGGGCGGATAAATGCAGTCAGGTTGAGTTCAATTGAGGGGAATTTATTGTATTGTCACAACGACATGGGCGGTTACATGTGTACTAAACTGAGCGACTTATTTTTATGTTCATGCTGCTATCCAAAAAAAAATCACCACATCTTCTACAATATTATTCTATTTTTCTTCTTCTCTTCTTTATATGCAGATTATAATTATTACTTAAAGTAGCAGTAACAAACGTTTAAATATTGTAGACATTTAAAATATTACATTTCGATATTAAATCTTCTTCATTTTTAATATCAAATCTCAATTCCATTTATAGTTCTAGAAACGTAAAAAATTAAACTTCAAAATATTGAAGAAGTAATCAAATTTGTGTAATGTTTCTTGGACAATATTCATTTTTTAAATATTTTAATTGTTGAATGCTATTAAAAATATAATTTAATCGTACTCGTACGTAATTTGTTATGAGGATCTATTTCGTTATTTCTAAAGTTTTTATTACTTGCCTCGTAAATTCTCCATATATTTCCGCATTTGCTACACGCCTGGAATTGTATTGCACTAAGTCGTAGCACATACAAAATTATAAGTATTTTACTTTTCAAATTTGTAGAACTCTGCTAGTTCTTAACTGTCTATTGGTGGATATGTAAATATTGTGGGGAAATACAGCTCAAGGTAAAAACCCTGAAGAAAATTGTATTTCTTGTTGTTGATTCATCTTGTCAAACATGAATTTTGGTTCAATATTGATTCCTGCTATCATTCTGTTTGCTGTGAGGATGCGTGGAAAGTGAATTGGTAATTTTGGTATATTTTTTCTTGTGCTGAATCGAATTGTGTTCGTGAAGGGCATGGCTGGACCATAATGGCCACCCTTCTTGGGATGATTCGTGGCTGAAAGAAAAAAGGGGGATGAACTAAAGACTAGGAGGAAGGTCATATAGGGAGAGAGTCGATTAGAGAATCGAGATGTTTGCCTTTCTTTTCCTGATGCGGAGGAGCGACGAAAGATATCGAGAGCGGCGATATTAGTAATATATATTGGTGGGACTTTGTCTAAGAGTTTGCGAAAGTTATTATCTAGTTGGAGATGCAGGACACGCGCCTTCAATGCCTCCTCCGCAAAGTTATATGGCCGAGTGACAGGCCATCTCTCGACATATTTAAACGGGGCCGTCCAACCTCCTTTCCACGCGCCATTAGTAACCATCAGTGCGAGAAAACAGACAATTCGCACTCGCACATAATTGCTTTTCTTTCCTCCACACTCTTCTTTCTTCCTTCTTTCCATCCCTCCCGTAATAAAATGAAATCCTATCCACCCTCGGCTTCGACCTCCCTCCTTCCGCCCTCCAGTTCCAATTTATGCAATCTTATTTCCGAATGCATTATTAATCATATTCCATCATCCATCCGAATCCACACTCTCCGTCGTCGTTTCCATTCCTCCTTAAAAACCCTGATACTTTGCTTCTCTAATTTGATATGCCATGGTTATTGAAGTTATACAATCAGGGTAGATCGATTTTTTATCGAACGCGTATATTCTCAAATGTATCGCTAATTTGGGAATACCGTTTGATAAATTACAGTTCAATCATCCCGCAAGAAAATCCAATCTCGTGTCGCTAAAGTGGAAAAGTAAGGGGGTTGCTTGGTTTTGTAGACTCCGTCGCCGCGACTTAATAAATCGCATCGCTAATATACATTGTTTTCCCCCCTTTGGCCAGATTAAAAACTATTTCTCATTTTTATGTAAACAATTTGTATCAACGCTCGCGGACCGAATATAATTTATGGTTGTTTGGAAAACTGCTCCCGTCTTCCATCTCTCTCGCACTCGTGCACGGTCCCCCATTTTTTTGTTTTGTTTCGCCCTTCCCTTCTATCCTCCTTTCCGTCCTCCTCGGGATGATACTACAATAAAGTACTCGAGTTTAATGCTGGCTGCCCACCCCGGCGATTTGCAAGAAGAGCTCCGGTCATATATAGCGAAAATTCATTTGCAGTATCCCCCCAACTTTACGACCTCCCAGTTTCCAAATCATCTCGAAGTACAAGAAATTTCCAGTCGTTGCCGCCGCCTCCGACGCTGCTGCTGCTTATTCTTTTCCCTTTTATACAATATCTTCTTCATATCTATTTTTGTTCCTGTTTCTTTATGCGCACTTATACTTTATTAATGTGATTTTTTTCTTTTTTATTCTCCACACAGGTTTACTATGCGAAGAAGAAGAGACGGGCAGCGGCGACTCAGGGGGAGGACAGTTCGCACAAGAAGGAGCGGAAATTGTACAACGATGGGTACGACGACGATAATCACGATTATATCGTGAAGAACGGTGAAAAGTTCCTGGACAGATATGAAATAGACTCCCTAATCGGCAAAGGTTCCTTCGGTCAAGTCGTCAAGGCTTTCGACCACGAGGAACAGACACAGGTCGCAATCAAGATCATCAAAAACAAGAAACCCTTCCTCAATCAGGCCCAGATCGAAGTAAAACTGCTCGAGATGATGAACCGAGCGGACGCCGAGAACAAGTATTACATAGGTAATAATTATATAGGTAATAAATCACGATTTTATACAATCTTATTTACCTATTTATTTTTATATAGTACATATTTTTCGGACCATAAGACGCACCATTTTATATAAAGAATTCAATTTCTTATAGTTCTGAAAAATATACTAGTTATTATTTATAGACAAATTCAAGAAATAGTCAGTCCATTGAATCAAATTAAATAATCATTATTTTTATAGTAATTTGCTTCGATTATTACATCACTTCCACTAGCAATAGTTTTTCATTATAATCAAATTATACAAGTCACATTAAATAATTGGATGTGGTCAATTACTTTCACATGAACGTCTATTTATTAACGCGACAATGTTTTCTTGGATTTACGTCTCCCAGGTACTTTGCTGCTCTAATTGAAAATACAATGGTTATTGCAGTTATACAACCAGGGGAAAGTATGATTTTATCAGCAAAATTGCATTTTCGAATGTATCGCCAATTCGAAATTGCTGTTGAGAAAATTACAGTGCACTCCCTTGTTCACCATTTTGTGTGCAATTATACAAAAAAAAATTAGAATTGAATTACATTTAATAATAATATATATATTGCAATATAAGTGCAAATACATTATCAGTTACACACATTTTTTTTTAAATAATACAAAGTGTGAGTTTGAAGCAAATGGTGAAGAAGGCGTGAAGCTATAATTGGTGTATCCAAAGCACGGCTTAGTAGTAAAATTAGAGTGAAGTAATGGATCTTAATTGAGTCATTTATTAATTGGCATTTTTGTGTGTTCTTTTTTCTTTTCGTTGCAGTTAAACTGAAACGGCACTTCATGTGGCGAAATCATTTATGTTTGGTGTTCGAGCTGTTGTCGTACAATCTTTACGATCTGCTGCGGAACACGAACTTCCGGGGCGTTTCGCTGAACCTGACGAGGAAATTCGCACAGCAACTGTGCACAGCTCTCCTGTTCCTTTCGACGCCCGAATTGAACATCATCCACTGCGATCTCAAGCCCGAGAACATTCTGCTCTGTAATCCGAAACGTTCCGCCATCAAAATCGTAGACTTCGGGAGCTCGTGTCAGCTCGGCCATCGAGTTAGTATAAACATTGTTTTTATTCTTTAATTTAACTGTTGTCCACGTCCTCATCCCCATCCTTATACGTGTCCCTTTCTCAACTGTTCCCAATCTTCGGAACGCAGTTGGTGCATTTTTAACGTTTCTCCTCGTGTGTTGCAGATATACCAGTACATTCAATCGAGGTTTTATCGTTCTCCGGAAGTGCTGCTGGGGATTCAGTACGATTTAGCGATAGACATGTGGTCGTTAGGGTGTATTTTAGTCGAGATGCACACGGGAGAGCCCCTCTTCAGCGGCGCCAATGAAGCGGACCAATTGAATAAAATCATCGAGGTGCTCGGCATGCCCCCAAAGAATCTTCTCGATCAGGGCGGAAAGATACGAAAGTTCTTTGACAAATTACCGGACGGAAGGTAGGAAAGACGAGATAGAAAGAATGAGAGAGGGAGAGGATTGGCGTTATGCAGGTTATTAAAATCGAATTCCCCCCACTCTTCTGTTTAGGTACATCCTGCGGAAATCGAAGGAGAGTAAAAAGTACAAACTGCCCGGCACGAAGAAATTGCACGACATTTTGGGCGTCGAAACAGGAGGACCCGGCGGCAGGCGGATCGGTGAACCAGGTCACTCGATGTCCGACTACTTGAAATTCAAGGACCTCATCCTCCGCATGCTGGACTATGACCCCAAGACGAGGATAACTCCTTACTACGCACTCCAGCATAACTTTTTCAGACGCACTGCGGACGAAGGCACCAATACTGCGAACAGTACCAGCTCGAGTCCTGCAGTCAACCTCGATATGTCCTCATCGAGCAGTCAACATGGTAATTTATAACAAACAACTGAAAAACATAACATACACATACAGTACAAAATACTAAATCTCCCAAGAAGAGAAGAATCGAATCAATTTCATGCATATACATTTTACACACTCACACAACATCATCAGCAACATTCAAACACGCGTTTCGAAACAAAACCCGAAGAAACGAAACCAAGCTCTTGATATATTTTTGTTTTGATTTTGTTTTCTATTATTTTCTTTACTATTTTTGTTTTTTTTTTGTCTGTGTGCAGATATAAGCGGATTGCAGCGATGACTAACATAAAACTACGGCAAAAATCTGCCGTAAATACACTAACACAGGTACTAACATCCTTTGTAGATTTTATTTATTATTATTACTTATTCTCTTTATATATATGCACACCTTTTAGTCTATTTTTATTCGATCATTCCCTTACTTTTTTCTTTCATTTTAGAGTGCGTAGTGTATCCACCATAACTTAGTTTATTCATAGAGTAGAGTTTCGTAGACAATTTTTAATTTTATTTTTGAAAAAAAAAACAAACGCCGTTGTTCACGACCATTTTCTTTTTTGTTTGTTACTCATTAGGCCAAATTGTGTATTTTTTAAAGAAAATTCTACAAAATTATATAATATGTTCCAGGAAATCACGTGCAGAATTACAGAAATTGGCGAAGATGAAAGTGTATAGGCGGAGCCGCAGGCATTAAATCTAAATTATTTTTTATTTAATTCAATTTTATATATTATAAAAGTATATATTAATTAATATACATACATATATTAGACTGGCTTACTTTAAATTTATCTGTAAATTTCGTCAATGTTGATTCATTTTTAATCACCAAAATCAATTTCCTAAATCGAGGGATTATTTCTAAACTTTTTTAAAACTAAATCAATATTGACCAAATTTTCGGAACACAGTCGATTAAATTAATTGATTGGTTGTCCTTTTATGGACGCAACGTGTGTTTTGTACGGCTTTGCGTAAGGTGGAAGAGCGCTAGGATAATTTCTGATTTCCTGTAAAGAAATTTATATAGTGAGATTTGTTTTTTTCTAGAACGTTTATTTTGTATCTGTGCTTCTGGACAATTGAGAAAAATAATTAAAATATATTTAACGAAATTTCCATCACTTGTATGTTTGATCTGCTTCTTAAGTAATTAGGAAAATTATGTACGATTTAAGTCTATATATGGTAATATACGTTTAAACGAGGATTTAGCGATGCTGCAATTATTCTGTAGTTTAGATTTAATACTCGAAAAGGCGTTGTGAAGTAAAGTAATTTAAGCGCGAGCTGTCGCTAAATCCTCACTGAATCGTGTATAGTTTATGAGCAATACACCTAGGCGTATTGTTGTAACGTACAACTTTGGATTGATGGAAGTTTTAGACGAACAAGAAGAAAAAAAGGAAGACGTTGCACGTTCTTAGTCGTATTAACGGTAATAGGTCTAAATCTATTATTGAGTTGTGGATCATTATTTGTTATATTTATTACTTGTAGTCAGATAATTAGGTTCTCGTCGTTTCCAAACACGCCCTAATTACTATGACCAAAGCAAATAGCATAATTCGATTGTTATATATTATATATATTTACACACACACATGGAAAAGGTCCCCAGACTTTTGGCTTCGAGAAAGCCGTCTGCCTTGTATTTTTTTTTATATCTGCGTGAATTATTGATATCACAATGAAGTGTGCAAGTGCGGAAGAATAAGGAAAAAGTCCCGAACAAAATTACAAACTGATATATATGAATATACGAGTGATAATCTTTTTGTAGGACAATTACATTATTCTTTTCTGTTGTGATCGTTTTATATTATTATTTTTTTTTGATGCGAAATACTATTAGTTATGTTTATACAATTTTCTCCTCTCGTCATCCCACTATTAAAGGCTGCGAGAACAAAAAAAAAGAGAGAACGAAGAGAAAAAAGTCGAAATTATTTATAATGTTGCATATAATTTATCACGAGAAATAAATGTACAAATGTAAGGATTTTTATAAAAATTAATTAAAAAAAAACAACAACAATAACCAACAAACACGCAGAAACACTGAAAACCATCCCTCTTTTCGATATCTTTTTCTTATTTTTTACGATAATAAAAAAAAATGTAGAACCAAAATTTTTAACGCAAATTTCAGGTTGAAGGAATTATATATGAGAACGCTGCGGCCCGGGATCAATCTTTTGTGTATGAAATAGGTAGGCTTTTGTTTTTCTTCAAAATTATCGACATTACTGTTTATTATTATAATAACAACATGTTTATTTTCGTTCGTTTAAAACGCAGTTTTGTCGTTCGAAATTTGGCTCTTTCAGTTAAGTTTCATATATATTCTTTTTCACTTCCCTTGCAGTGAAACGATGATATATTATGTGCAATATTGTATCGGATTAGTGTAACATCGATGAAGATTGTCACAAGTTCGAATCAGGTTGCTTTTATATATATATCAAATGAATAAAATGATTTAAAAAAAAACGCATTGCGGATGTATAGAATACACTTATTCTTTATTTGCATTCATATCTGGTTTGGATCTCTGTTCCAGACGTTTACGTGCATGTGATTAATAGATGTATCTTGTAAAGCTCGTTTCAATCATATTTTCATATTAGTTTCTCATTCTTTTTTCACTACATTTCCATCATAGATTTTTTAACATTGTCGCTTCTTTCAAGTTCAGAAACAAATCCTTATTGTGAACTGTTAATGTTTGGATAAAATAGTAATTTTCTTATTTTTTAATATATTAAAAACAAATTTTAATTCAAGAAATATCCAAGTTTATTTTATTGAATTAAAATTTGACTATTACTTTTTAGTGGATGAAAATTATTGTTAGTAAAAATAATTAGATTTTTGTCATCATACATTAATTAAGTTAATGTTTTTGAGTAGATTAATTAAATCATAGATTATTTTAAAACTTATTTCAAATGGATTTGTTTTTTATAAAAATTGAATGAGAAATTGCATATTATAAAGATAATATGAAGTATCAATATTTATGCATGATATTTAAGAGAAAATGTATTTATTTTTGATGAATGTTTATGGAATTGAATGTGATTTATGTAATGATTTTCATTAATGGTGAAAATAAAGTTTGTAGATGATACTGGATGTAGGTGATTGAAGATGTGTGCGTAGTATGAAAGTAATTGAAATGAGTTACACAAGGAGCACTTCGCATGTTGTTAATCATTGTTTCGAGTCTAGGTGGGTGTATGTGTGAGTCTTGAGAGGCGGAGGATAACAAGAGGGGAGGATGAAGATGTGCTAATGTTGTTTTTCTTATTGTAGGGTTAAATCTGCTAGGTAGATCAAGGGATCTGCAGAACCACAGTTACCAGCCTTCCAGTTACACTGCGATGGAGTGCGATCCATCGCCGTCGTCTCGCCATCCCCATAGGCAGTGGGTCCCAGTCCCGTACATGAGCTTCGGGACGCAGTACTTGCCTTACGCAGCAGCACCCTATCCTGGTCACTCAGTACCAGACGGCACCCCCCCGAAACATAATCCTCCCCAGAACGGACCGTCGAAGGCTGCAGCAGCCCAAAACGACAGTAGGAGCGAAAGTCCGATGGTCGGCGTTTGTGTTCAACAGAGTCCAGTGGCGATACACTGAGCCGTAGCATCTAGGGAATAGTGTGATTAGTCTGTATTTAATGATAACTATGGTAACATACATACACACACATATATAGATATAAATATATAAATGCATAAATATATTTATATGTATATATTTAAAATGAAGAGAAAAGCAAAGGTCGCGATGTAAACTGTATCCTTAATATTTTATTTGCGGTTCATATATATAAAAGAAAAACAAGATTAAAAATAAAGAGAATTGTAAAATGTAAATACAAATTGAGTAAATAAAGGGAAGAACACACAGTGAGCCATCCGTTTCAACATTCGATGGGCGAATGTTGAAACGGACAGCAGCAGCCTGCAGAACTGGACGACGCTCGGACCGTGAAGAGAACGACAAGAATAGGGCGATGGGAGGAGGAACAGGACTCACACAGAAGTTGAAAAGTTTCGCTAGTGATTTAAAAAAAAAAGTTGTAAAAGAAAGTGACTTTTATCGCGAAAGAACTAATGACAACAATACAACAACAACAGACTTTGAGCTTTCGCTCTGTTGCGCGCGCGCTGAAGATAAACGATTCGATTTTCATTGATTATTAATATCCTCTTTGTTTTTATTTTCGATTAGCACTAAGTTTAAATATTAAAGTAATTTATAATAGTATTTAATTATTAAACGATAAGTAATATAGCGAAATATCTATGAATATATAAAAATCCGTTTCCTATGATTTTTCAAATTTTTATTTTCTGTAGAATGGCTCTGGTTGCGATAAAAAAATAATAATGCATTCATATACAACAACAAAAACAAAAATAACGACACGTAATTCCTTCCGCTCCAAATAAAAAATAATAATAATTTAAAAAAACATCAATTTTCTAATTTCAAGTAATGTTAACAATTTTTCATTTAATCCGTTGTTACTAAGCCCCCCGAATATTCAGAAGAAAACCATACAAGCAACTACAAAAAATTATATATATATATATATATATTTAAAAAAAAAATACATATATATGCATACGTAAACGTGTATGAAAATAAGAAACAAGACTGAAATTATAATTTGTTACTGTTCCATTTTCCCTGATTTCGTTGTTCACAGCCTTTCTCGAAACAAACAAACAAAAAAAATGTATATCTCTCCACTCCTTAGAGCTAGTAATATTTGCATTGGCAATACATGTAATAAATGAACGTGAAAGTGAATGAAAAAAAAGTATGTATACGTTGTATAAGTAAATAAGCAATTTCTATTGTTAGGAAAGTTTTTTTTTGTTTATTTGTGTTACTTTTCCCGAGGACCTGATCATGAAAAGGGGCCTAAGTTGAGCTTGAAACCGCTTGGATAAAAAAGAAAATAAAAGGAAAAGAAAGCAGAAGAAACAGGAGATTCTTAATTCGTTATGAATCCAAATGATTTCGTTGTTATCCCTCAATTTGTAGTTGAAAAAAAAGGAAACAACTATTATCATTTTTTTGTTGTTGTCTTTTACTGTTTTATGAGTTAAACCTTTTCCAATTTTTGTTTTGTTTTGTTTTTGTTTATAGTGTTACGATGATTTTCTAAACGATGTGATAATAATGTTTGTTTACTGTTTTTACTTTCCTTTCTTATGAAACATGTATATTTGAGGTATATATATATATATTTATAAGCAACATGAACAATATAAACGATAATTCCAAAAAAAATGAATCAATTTGATCGGAGCAAACTGCAAACGTTTTTATTTTCTCTTCTTTTATTATTTTGGTTATATTATGCGTGCACTGTTCAGAGCAGTGTACGTTCGAGACTTTATTACATATTAATAAGCATATTGGGATTTTGATTTATTTTTATAACCGGGGCCTATCCAATCCACTTTTTCACCGGTGGTAAATGTGTTCAAAATATCGGTAGTACTTAGCTTGACTCCTGGAACAATCCAACATTTGCGAAGCAAACAAATTATGTAAATACCTTCAAAAAAACTAAAATCTGCATCGTTGGATCATTTCAGGATCGAGTGTGTTCTTTGTAAATAATATCTTTTAATCGAGTAGAAACTTGTAATTTATACGAGAAAACAGAAAAATGAAAACTAAAAAAAAAGAGTATCGACACTAATTTATTATTTAATTTATTTTATTTTGCGCAGCAAACTGCGACCAAGTCCTATTTATTACACCTTAGTTTTGATTGGGAGGTTACAACAAAAAAAAAAGAATAAAATTTCACGAACATTGTACGATTATTATTATCCTTTTTATTTTGAGCTTTTTGTTGTTTTGGGAAAATACTGAAATTTATTTGTGTGTATTGATTTCTTTTTTGGTACTGGAAAAACGATTCTGGAATGCAGAACACTTTTTGGTGAATGGTTCAGGAGGAATGCAATTCTTTGGGCAGTCGATGGATGATGGATGGATGAAAATAAAGATATAATATTATAGGGTATAAGGATACAATATTGCATTTTTTGCCATCTATACAATTCCTATTTGCTCTTTGTTATTAAATAAATTAATATTAAACTTGCCTCGACTACGTTCTTAATCATTTATTTCCTACTTCGTTTATGGTTCTCCCAAAAATCTCCAATCCTTAACTATGACACAAATAAAATTACCAATAAAACCAACATATAAAATAAATATAACTAAATCTTTATTCAAAATAATCATTAAATTCGATTGCAATTATCGATTATTTGCTGAAGTTGACTCGAATTTGACCTACCGCAGTAGTATTCAATTTCCTAGCAATTATCGCCTTTCAACAATGATCAATTTTATTTTTTTTGTTTGTTTTTAATGCACGTATTACATATATTACATCAAGTAAACATCACGCCAGAATAGATTAACTCGTCTTAGCGCAAAATATATTGATCAATACATATTTTTTTCTTTTTTTTAACTGATATTGCTCAGATGATGTATTTAGTTCACAAACAATCTCGTGTGTTTACTATCTGTTTATGTTGAATATTAGTGCGTTAGATGTAAAATCGTTCTCGCACATAAAAACGGTAAATTTATACAACTTATGTTCTTGTAATTAATATGTTATTTTTTTTGAGAGAAATGCAAAATAAATTCTTTAATTATTTTCAATGTTGATGGATAGGTGTGAAAAATATTGTTGATTACAGTTTAATAGGACATCGGTCATAGTTCTTATTTGCTTTACCATATGTTAGGGGCATGCTACGAATACCTTACACAAATACGATCATTGTTTTGTATTAGATTACAGCACGTTATCTCATTTTTATATTATCACTGCGAAATGCTCTATGTGTATATGGGTAGAAATACCAAATGTATGTTGAAGAGATACTGACCTTGTTTTTAGCTGGATTTTCGCAAATCGGGGCCTAATTTTAATCGTGCATAGAGTCGAACGATACAGAAAACAACAGCATCGATGATAATGTTTGATACGTCCACTAAAATAATAATAATAATAATAAGGATTACGTAGAAAATGTATATTAAAATACATATTTATACGCATATGTATGTGAAGCTATCGCTCGTGTTGCAACTAATTTTCTTATCAGCATTAAAACAGTAGTAAACGTCTCAAATCGCATCCCCACTCGAGAGCTGAGCCAAATATAAAATCTAGTTGCAATTTATCGAGGAGTTCACTTCTTCAAGTCTTCAAATTAGAAAAAAGTAACTTGTAAGTATCCACCGCTTTCTCCATTAATTAATTTAAATGATTTCGAATGAGACATGTTGGTTTATTAATATTGCAAGTGCGTTTGATCTATTGTTGATTCATTCAAATTTCCTTTTGTGATGTACAATTTAAATAATTTAAAATTTATTAGTTGGAATTGATAATGAACGTAATATTATGTATGGTTAAATTGGATGCGTATTTGTAAAGTTATGATTTGCTGGAATAAATATTGTAGGATGTTAAAATATGATTATATAAGATGAATTCGTGTCTCTTTTTGTTCGCGTGCAATTTAAATATGATGGATTTAAGTTTTTTTTTTTAATTTAAATTATATTTGGGGTAATTGTAGTTAAAGTAAATTGTAAATGTTTGCAAGTGATGTTGTGTGTGATATAACGCGAGTTGAGCTGATGCAATCGACGAGAGAAATTGATGGGTTGATTGCCAGGTTGGTTGGTCATAATGGCCGATACCCCCTGGCTATTATCCTCTCCTCTTCTGCTCTGCTCTCGTCTTTCACGAGAGATCCACCGACTCTGACATTGCGAATTTTCAAATCGCTCGAATACCTTTTCTTGAAAACAACACGCACGTAACTACTACTGCACTCTCCGAAAGCGGGCCGGACGCGTCGGGATGTCGTCCACTTGCACCAAAAATACCAATAGTAATTTCTTCTTCTACCGGCGACAGAAAGGTGAGTGAATGTGCGATCTAGTTTGTTGTGTTTGTTAGACGGACGTGCGGACGGGAAAAGAAAGAGGGCGGCGATCGGTGTGGAGAAAGCCATCCGCCGAAATTAGTCTCCTCTACTCCTGAGCATCTTCAAAGGTGATGCAATTTCGCGTGCGCATCACGTAACACAGATTACCATCCCGACGCCGAAAACTCGTATACCGTTAAAATTGTGCAGAATTCATCATTGTTTTTTTTTGTTTGTCTTGTCTTGAAGCGAATTCCAAAATGACCGAGGACGTGATCCGCACCAAATCGTTGGGCCTCTCCGCCGAGGGCGTCCGCGACCAGTACGCCGATGGTAAAGCAGCCAAGGTCTGGGAAATTTTCATCGGAGACAAGAAGTCCAGGACTGAGAACTACAAGAACTTTTTAGTTGGCATGCTCAGGGAGAAGGGTTGCAAAAAGATCTTGGATGTTGCATGCGGAACTGGGTAATTAATTAAGAAATAAATGAAATGAAAAACCAAATCATAAAAATACATTTTTTGTAGAGTTGATTCCATCATGCTTCTGGAGGAGGGCTTCGAGGTGACCTCCGTTGATGCTTCCGACAAAATGTTGAAATACGCCCTGAAGGAGCGCTGGAGCAGGAGGAGAGAACCAGCTTTCGATAAATGGGGTAACAAGACACGCAAAACATTTTCCAAGAAAAAAAGTTTCATAAATTATTATTTTCTTCAGTGATCGAGGAAGCCAACTGGTTGACCTTGTATGACGATATTGGTCACATGGTCGGGGGTGGTTTCGACGCCGTCATTTGCCTGGGCAACTCCTTTGCCCACATGATGGACAACTTCGGAGATCAACGCGAGCAAAAGTAAGATCACCTCAAAGGATTATCAAAAAAAAACATCAACAAACAATAATATCGCGAAAAACAATACCTTCCTAGCAACCGGCCGAAACCAGTACTGCGACTCGGTGTTATGTAACATCAGCAGGAACTGCTATCGCAACGGGTCGCCGGGGTTACAGAAACAAACAACTTTGTTTACGGTGAGCGGGGTCACTAAGTCTTCTCATTTTTTTTTCAAATTGCAGGCAGGCGCTGAGCAACTTCGAAAAGTGCGTCAAACCGGGCGGTCTCCTCTTGATCGATCACAGAAACTACGATCACATCGTGTATTCCGGTCAGACGCCTTCCAAATGCATCTACTACAACGTAAGTCCAACATAGTTACAATTATCTATGTTCGAAAAGAGATTCTTGCGCAAGAGTTAATCGTCTATTTTCAAAATAACTCCTTTTGCAGAGCTCACACAAGACTGATATCAAGACGTCCGTCCTTTACGAAGCCGGAAAACCGGCTATGGTCATGATGGACTACTTCATCAACATTGCCCAACCGATGGGCGGAGCAATGAACGGAAACTCGAACATCAAGTAAAAATCACATTTATTTTTTAATTGATAATGAATTTCCCTAATTCGATGTTTTCTTCGCACAGCGAATTCCGTCTCTCTTACTATCCGCACATGCTGGAGGTCTTCAAGCGCATGCTGAAGGAAGCGTTCAACACCAAGCAGGATTATAAAATCTTCGGTGACTTTAAGCACCTCAATGAAATCGATATACCCAACTTCTACATCCACGTCGTCGAAAAGAAATGAACGGTCCAACCTCTTATAAATTATACACACTAAACGAAACATTAAACATTTTATTTTTTTAAATTAAACCTCAGTTTTATTTTCGCCCTGCGAAAAACAACACTTAATTTGTAAACATTGGCTATGATAGCGATAAAGCCAATTATGAAAGAACTGCAATCCGACTGATACAATTATCATATTATCGATTTAATTAAAACATCCTTAACTATTATCATGCAAAATCATGGGGCGATAACAAATTATTTGATATTATTATCAAAATTAGCAAATTTAATGGAATTTGTATTAATCTATATGTTATACATATCTTATGAAATTATGCAAATTGTAACAGAATCTGAAATTACTAAAAGTTATCCTTTTACAATGGACCAAAAGACAGTCCAGGAATTTACCGTACAATGTGTTGCCTATAGCACACTGTAGCAAAATTTATTAATATGTACATTATTTTAAAACTATCTTAAAAGAAATATTGTTAGAAAATACACTTAAAATTTCCACAATATTTATTAGAATTAATGTTTTATATATGAATAATTTATATTTTTTAAATTTTGAGAGTATTGCAATAATAAAAGTTGATTTAATGAAATGTTTATTCTTAACATATAGAACGAAAATATCGAATAACATTATTATAATACAATTCAATATTTTTGGTGAAATTTTGAAAGATACAAAAATAAATAAAAGTGCATTTTTGAAGGCACTAAAATAATTTTACAATTAAAATATTTTTCAATAATATATTTTATTATCATTATCAAAATATTAATTTTTAATCTTGTTGCGGATTTTGACTAATATTTGCAAACCATATCAAAAAAAAAAAAAAAACTCTGAAAAAGAATTGCAAAAAATTACAAAATTTAGGACTACAAAATTAAAAAGAAAATCATTGTGTTGTTGATATTAGTTATTTATGATATTAATATTTATTAAAAAGTTATTACGAAGAAATTGCAAAATTTACAATTATGAAATCAGGACATTGAATAAATTGAAGTTAAAACATCAGTGACTGAAATGTAATATTTTTTTCTTTATCTAGTTAATGTTAATTAATAATATCGGTGCAATTTCTAGATTCGAAATTGGAATTCGAAATGAACTTATTAGCTCGTGAACTGCAAATGTGTTTTGCAATTAAATTTCGTAATATTTTTACTATCTACGTATATTTTTTGTAATAAATGCGTTTTTATTTGTGGGGTGATTGATCAAGGTTGTTTGTGTTTTAGTTAATGTTGGTTTATGAGATGTTAATAAGAAATGAGTTTGTATGCAACAGGTTGGTGAAACTTTGAAAGTGTAAAAAGGAAGTCATTGAAAGTGAACTGAAAGTTTATTTTTCAGTGTAATATTTAAGTGAATAAATGTAGAAGCGCGCCTTTTCATCATTGAGAGATGTAATAAATCTGTTATGAATGTCAAAGGAAAAAGCGATGAAGAAAATATAAATAAGCTGGTCAACGCACTGATGGTTCTGTTTAGGTTTTAATATCAGATTATTATTGGAACTGGATACGGTGTTTGGTAAGAAAGCGAGGGAGTTTAGAAAAGGGAAAAAAGCCATAGTGGGAGAATACCTGCTCTACCTTGGCTCAGTAACCGCTTGCCGGTCCAGCAGTCAGCATCAGCCGTCCGCGCGCTCCAGACAAATGCTGTACGACGAAGACCTGTCCCAGAGGCTCTCAATGCCTCCATACACGGATTCCAACAATAACAGCAACGGAAAGACCAGCACGAAAGACAAATATTCGTTGCGGCCTAGGTCGATCCGCAGGAGGAACCCAGAGGTCGTCGAAGATGAGGTCCAGGTGCCTCAGCCGGTGCTGAAGAGGAGTCCTAAGCCGAAGCAGAAGCCCGCACCGTTGAGCAAGTATCGGCGCAAGACGGCGAACGCCAGAGAACGCAGTCGGATGAGGGAGATCAATCAGGCCTTCGAGACGCTCCGGAGGGTCGTACCACAACTGTCGGAGGCACACACCGTCACCAACGAGAAGCTCACCAAGATCACCACCCTCCGTCTGGCGATGAAGTACATTTCTACGTTGAGCGCCACCCTCACCGGTGGATCAGATACGTCGTCCTCATCATCTCCCGACTTGATCTCCGACTGCTCCGAGCTCGATCTCCTGCTGGAATCCGATGGCGAGTCTCTGCCTCTTCACTCGGACTTCTCCGACCATTCTGCAGACTTTGGGGCAGACTTTGCAGATGATCCTCTCGCGCACGACTTCTCACCCCTCTCGCCGGACCTCAGCCATCATCTCACCCACTTCGACCCTTTCCTGGCGGACTTCAGTTAATTAGTGCTAGTAAAGAAAATTAAAAAATTAGGTCGCAAACTCGAAATTAAACATATTCTTATTAACGATTCTAGTGTTAAGGAAAAATGTCCTATTATATTGTAAGTCTTTGAATTATTACTATACTTTTATATATATATATACACATTTTTATATTTATTTGTAAATTTATTATTAAAAAACAAACTAAAACACGTTTATTTTTATTAAAAATACTCTCTGACACACACACAAAAATAATAAGAAGGTAAGCCAGTCTTAAATATTAACTTAACAACCAATTTCATCGCGAATTCCCTTTTTTTTCCTGTCGGCGACGATGAAAATTTTAATTGCATTATTATATAACAACACAACCTCGACTCGATTACATTTCAGTTATTTACTTCTTGTCGCATCATGCGTTCAGATATAATCATAAAATACTCTTTTTTTTTAATTTAAACTAAATTATATTGACACTCCTCCGAAAAATATTTTTACTTACTAACATTAATATTTAAAGAATAATTAAACTTTCTCATTCGAAAATTCATTTCCATTTCAACTACAACTACATTACTATAATTAAATTATAAATAATTTTGATAAAGCTATTTATATAATATCGTAATATACGACAATACATTTATTATAAATATTTTTTAATTATTAACAATTAAAATTTATTTGAAGTAGATATAAGAATTTGATATTTCTTCAGAATATATCAATTTATCAAGAAAGTGTAAATATGTAATAAATAGGAATTATTAACAATAAATATTTCATATTAATGCATTAATTATATATTAAAAGAATATGGAATAATATTAATCCTTATTTAAGATAAATTATTTTTAATTTTAAATGGAATTATTCCATATTTTGAATTCTTCAAATCTTACTAGAATAATCAAATATTATTGAGTGATAACTTTCCTGTTTTTTGTAATTTAATTACAAAAAAAATTAACAACTAGAGGAATTTACATATTATAATATCGTATAAAATTTAATGACCAATTAAAATTTGAAATTCTGTGATTTAATGATCGTTTAGTTGTGAAACTGATAACCAATTAGTTACTACCTAATGTTTAAGTGATATTTTTTAGATAAGCTTGTCGTTATTAAAGAAAATTTGATGTTTTTTTTTAACGTAACACAATTATTTTTTTAATGCAATTATTGGATTCGTTTTATGTTGAATGTCTTTTATATAGACAAGAATGAGAAAGGATTCTATAGAAGTCTTGATCTTCTATAGAATTTAAAAATAAAATAATCAAGAAATTTATATTTAATTTGCATTTATATAAACATCTAACTATAAAATGAAATTACTTAATCAGTGAATGCTCTTTGAAATGGTAATACGGTCGTAAATTATACAAATTTGTACAGCAACTAAAAAAAAACTTTATGATCGAATTCTTATTATGCAATCGACTTCTGGAAACCAACCCGGTTTACATTTAAAATAAGAGCCGAACCGAATTCCACGCAATAAAAACACAAGCAAACGAAACAGGAAACGAACAATGGAAATTAACGGAATCCGAGTTCGCTAATTGCGGCGGAGACCAAGTTTTTGGATTCGTCCCAGAAAAAGACCCCCACGTCTTTCTCGCAATTCCGCGCGACTCCCGTAATAAATTGCAAATGATAAATTGCGAACGATTTGAGCGAAATGAGAAAGGAAAGAGGAGAGAATAATAAAAAAAAGGAGCGTAAACGCACGAAACTAATTATAAATCAAAAGAAGAACGAGCTGAAGGGAAAAAAATACTCAAGCAAACCAGAAGTTGTAGTTCGAGTTGTACGGATCGTTAGCAATCTATGTATTATTTATAAGTGAGACCGTCGATGAAGAAAGAGTAGGTTGGTGAAAATAAGAAAAAATTCAAAACATGGAAACGAAGTGATACCAAAAACTGAAAGATGTTTGCTGGTAATTTTCCAAAACCAAAGAAATTAAAAAAAAGAATTTATTAAGCCCATCCGTCGCGTTATTACATCGCTGATGGTAAACGTCGAAATTACAACGACGCGTTGTGCAACGATAAAACTACGCGAAACCCATAAAACTGCTAAACAAATACCATAAAAGGGGCGGCCGTCCTTATACATGAGCGCTGTATAAATAAGCCTTCTACATATCCCAGCAAGAAAAAAAGCGCGCTCTCTCACAAATACCCATCTACCTATATCTATATATTATCTAATGGATGTCGTCTTTTTCCACCCAAACACTAGTCCATTACGATTAGCTCATTCTCCTTCTTTCCAGTTTGTAACAATTAAAAACAACAATTTGTAGATTCTCCTTAATTAAGCGATGAAAGTATAGTAGCATATTTTGTATATAATCCATATTTATCATATTTTAGATTTCGTTGAAGTAATAGTAGATACATATTCTTATTTTATGTAAAAAGTATACTTTAATTCTAATGGTAATCAAATTTAGTTGATACATTTTATTGACGTTAACAAAAAGATCGTAAAATAAAAAAAAAACTTGATTTGGATAGTTTTCCCACAGATCGTTTAATATATTATGTGATTTAATAATATGTATCACATTTATCTTCAGTGAGATTAGATGATAATTTACTAGTTTTCATTGAATAATTGTGTGATGGTCTACCTGGATGTAATCTAATCGAAGCTCATACGATTAGTTCACGGCTATTAAGATATAATTATCGACAAAAAACCATAAAGTAATCCATTTCATTAATTTCAAATCGAATCCAGTTGCTTTGACTTTAACTATTTATGAAATGGTTTTTATTTAATAGAATAACAAATCAAATTTAAAAATAAAGCATTTTTATATATAGTCATTAGCTTCGATTTATCAATGGTATGAGTTTCACGAAATTACTTCGTTAAGCGAAACTTTAGTTTAAAAGGTAAAAATACTAAAGTAAAAATATTAAAGAAGGCATTTTTTAAAAAATTGTATTCATTCTCTTTCTCTTCATTATTAACAAGGTTTTCAAAATCTTTCACTGAAGATGATTGTTTTCTGCTTTCAATAAACTTTCGAAACTGTTTTTTCCAATCTGGATAATTTAATTTCTAATTTATTGGATCTTATTTTCTTTGAATACTACAATTCCCAGAGATATTTGTCATGCATTGGAATAATTTGTATGTTGAAATTGCAGTGTCCGTTTTATGAAAGCTTCGTTGTTAGATGTAACGTTAAACAAGGTATAACTATATAGATGCATATATAGATGAACTTGGAAAATATAGCAATGACTTTCTATTAATTAGCAAACAATATATTATTTCTATGTATATGTCAAAAGTATTGAAATAATAATTATATACATTTTTGATTTTAAATGTTATTTAAGTATAGACTAAACTGTAATTACAAAGATACTTTGTAAGAAAGGTTAAGTGAAATTGCTGTTCGTTGTAAATATTTAGAGGAGTTCCAAGTTCCATAAATCTCTTAACATGAACGTGTTTACTTTAACATGAACTATAGAGTAAACAATTACGAGTGGCGAGTGTAATTGAAATTATAAGATCAATAAATAATCGGCGTACTAAACGTTTCATTTAGATCGAACGATAAAGCATGAAAAAAAGAAGAAGAAATGGAAAGCCAAGTGGTATTTAACTGGTTTAACTCTGATTGGGAAAATATTGACACGTTTATGTAGAAGTTATCAAACCAAATGTGGATCAAAACGATATAAAAGCATAATAAACACGTTCGGGCACGGCGCATTTGCGTTTACATAAAAGTAAAAATCGTCCGAAACGACAGTAAATTTCATTGCGCGTCCATTACACGACTTCTCGTGAGATCATTTGCTGATCCGTTCCGCCGAGTTTTTCTTAATTAAATTCTGAACGCGTTTTTGAATGTACCCTGACGTGCATTACTTTCGGTGCATTCGGATCCCGAACTCGAGACGTTTTTTAATGGATCCGGGTCGTTTAGATTGTCGTTATAACCGATTATTTATTCGTACACTTTATAGCGAACAAACAGAAACGATCGCCTCGGGGTGAGAGCACTTCGTTCGTGTGCATATTATAAAAGCGGACCGTGAGTCGGGCTTTGCAGCTTAGTAACTTACTTAGTAGTTACTTACTTATTGGCCGCGCTCCAATTGAATTATAACACTTTTATTAAACGCCGGCTCTGCGCTCTTCGGCTCTTATGTAAATTAGAGGCGATTATTTTGTATGCAGGAAGAAGAAAGTTTCTGTTTCTGTTCGGCTTTATCGATCGGAAAGTGTTGTAATCGTAGCTTAGCTTATCTCGACATCTCACAGGCTCGTATCATTGACTGTCACACTCGCTGTATATTACCTGACCGTCATGTATTTATTAAACATCCAAGACATTTATATCACCATTTCACATTACCATCAACGATGCAACTGACATTATTTTTTACACTCATTTACTTAATGCCAAACATTCTTGTCATATTAGGTTACAATAACACATGTTCAAAACATAAATACGTCTCCATTTATAAAAGTAAATTCATTCAAATGAATTCTTTATTCTGAAAAGTTTTCAGAAAACTAAATAAATGAGTCATCTTACAATATACTAATTTTTATACTAAGAAATCTTCATTGATTTAATCATTTAATCTGTTCCAAATTAATACAATACCAAATGACTTTGAGTTGAATCCTTTTAAAAAGTTATTACAATATTCAGATATTGTTACTTAACCAAAAACGTTTAAACGATTCTTAACTTAAAGAGCTTTGTTTTCATTGTACATTAAGGAAATATATAACAAATACTTACCATTATAGCTACAAGAGAAATATGCTATATGCAAAATCCATTTATTGATATTCTCAAAACTAATTTATTAAAAATATGTTTAATTCTCAAATATTGTTGTAAATGTAATGTATTTCATTTTAATTGGATTATATTAATAAGTTGTATCGTTTTATTTTTGGTATGAGAAGGAAGTTTCAATTACAAATATTAGGTCATAGAATCCTAAAGATGTCATGCCTTAAATGCAAGAACGAGAATAACGTAATCCCGTCGAGTTCGCTCGTTTCGACAGCCAT